GAGAGTCTTGGGTCAACCTTGCGATAGTCTTGGGGACTTTTCCCCAGGGCACTGTGTCTTATAGAGTACTCGATTGACCGACTAAGACGAGAGCTGAAACGTATTTCGTTGTGTGCGTCTTATTTGACTGTAAAGTATAAGTGACTTTCATGATCCCATACCTCAAGGGGACGAGATATAGAGACGAGACGAGATTTCCCCCTGGCAAGTGTGGAGAACCCCAGAGAGGAGGATTTACCCCTGATATATCCATGCGTGCATGCGTGCGTCCGGACCTGTATCTTAGAAATGCCTGGACCAATCACAATCAAACTTCACACTTACATCATACATGGTATTATACATATGCACGTCAATTTGTTTCACGATCTGATTCAAGATGGCCAAATGACGGCCAATTTTGTGCTGAAAATCATCAAAATCAAACATTTTTCGGCTGTTTACAGATGGATTTTGTTCAAACCTTGTATATACGTTGGACATTATGGTACCTTGATGCACATCATTTTGTTCTACAATACCACTTGACCCGCACATATCGAGGTCTATCCATGATTACTAAAACCGTGGTCTATCCAAAGACACAAAATTCAAACTGTAGTTATAACGTTTCAATGGAACAGTGCCCTCAGTGGTTTATATGTGTCGACCTTCGCCAGTAAAGTTAATTATTAAATAGTATTATGTACAAAGCAGAAATTGTGTTCACATACTCCATTCTTGATGTCCACAGTTTTCGTCACTGAATGAATTATTTCTTGTTCTCCGCAATATTCCGTGTTGGGTAAGGTAGATATTACACTGACCTTCCGGTCGACATACATAATAATGTCTTAATAATAATAATGTCGGTGATTGCATTGTTTACGTGTTGTGTTATGAACTTGGGAACACCTACTGTAAACACATAAATGTTCCCTGGGATTTAAATTTGATATTTACGATTTTTTAAGTGACACATTCTATTTCATGATTCACGTTCCCATAGGTCTATATTTCCTTATCATCCAACATTGTCAAACTAAAACAGATTTCCCGACCACGCCGTCCACCTACTGACATGGTATTCTTCTTCGTTTATTATCGTCTTCTTTCGGAAATACTCGGTAACCCAGGTCTCGCAATCGCAGCTGTTATAATCACAGCATTTATTTGCGCAATTCATTCTCATATACAATACATCAGACCAATCACTTGTGTATTAATTTATTTTAGATTGTGATCTCTCACTGACATTATGTGTGTGCAGAGGAGTGTGTAACAGTCAATTTTGCTATGTGTCACAATATGCATGTAGTATTGTCTCTCATGCCAATTTTCTTTTGTGTCAGGTGATCCGCGACTATATGAATTTACGTAAATCTTATTAATGAAGTGACGTCTGACGTCACACATATATATTCATGGCGAGGAAACGAAAAGACGACGTTGCGCCCGCTATGTATCGTCACTTTCTGTCAATTGTTTTAATAATGTTCGCATTGGTGGCAATATACATAATGCTATTGTACAGTGAACAGAGACATTGTATCAAACTGGACAAAGGAATGAGACAATTGGTTGTGTATGCGAGGAGAATATTAGACCAGTATAGCCAAGAAGAATGGGTTAAGGAACTACAACATGGTGATATTGACTTGGATGACACGCAGGTAAAATCTGCAATTGACAGACTTGTGTTAAGTTTTCGGAAATACACTGCAAGAAAAGAAGGAAGTGAGACTGTTGCGGAATCGCGCAGTAGCCTGACTGAGCAGAATGAGTTTGATTTAAGTGTTTTTCTAAAAGAATATGATAAAACCTTCAATAACTATTATTTGATGACGTCACATAATCCATACGGAGTTAATTTCAGTGGAACGATTTATAATGAGTCTCGCGACAGTCAAGATCTTCTGTGTGATTTGAAACGTCGAGCTAAGTACGACGTGCTCAAGAGAGATACCACACCTTTCAAAGAAATTGGAATTAGCAAATATTTCCCTGAAATATCTTTATATGAAAAGTTTAAAGGATTTGAATCGTGTGCCATCGTTGCTAGTGCAGCATATTTTAAGAATGCCACACTTGGGAAAGAAATAGGTGGGTTTAATAACATCTTTTATGCAAGCACGCTCCTATACATTTTGTATGTCCTCCATCAACGAACATTATGCTTTTGAGAGGCGTTATGTTCTAGATGAGAATGATTACACAATCTAACACAGTGCCCGACATTGCTTCCCCAATACTTCATTTTGACGTCACAGTAGTGCTCCATCACTGCACAGTGCAGTCTTATGTTTACGTTTTTGCCAACCAGTTTAATACATACATAGTCACCTAGGACCATGATCTAACCTATACTTACTTTGCACATGGCCATAATAGCTATCATAAGCCAAATATCACCATCGTGGAGTCAACTCTCTAGACTAATCTCAAATATAGAAGATTTCTTATTCGTGAAAAATTAAAAAAACACATAAAAAACACTAAATCTCAGATTTACTCAATGCTTTATATATTCGTATAAGAGAATGTAGAAAACAAGTAAATTTGATATTTTAAATTAAAAACCAATCTACTACATCCTTAATATAGGAATCTTACCTTACCTTTCATTATATTGCAGTCTCTTGCTACAACTTCTTAGTTATTCAAAATGTATCACCCTTAATATTGGTATTCTCATTGATTGTAATGTATATTTCAGACTCCCATGATGCAGTTCTGCGGTTTAACGATGCACCGACGGAGGGATTTGAAGAAAATGTTGGAAGAAAGACCACTATTCGTCTTATGAATACTTTAATATTCGAGGAAGAAAGATTTGGCTTCGAGACAAAGGATATTTTTCGAAACATAACTTTACTGGTGTGGAAGTCTGGGCCTTATAATGGCAACTTATATCGGGTAGATTTGATAGTATATGTGTATTTTTTAATATCTGCATTCAAACATCACAACCCATGTAAAAGTAAGATAGGCATTGTCAATACTTTGGGCGTATGCCTGGACACGACCTCAATTTCTTTATTGTATCAAAATTAGGGGTGGGCGTTTGCCCGGACAGCTACGGTATTGATAAATCACTATGCGACTTTGACTGAACCAAAAATGTATAATATACCAGATCTAATGGGTTCACTGACATTCATTGAAATATATATATTTAATATGAACACACACTTCATGCAATGAATTATGTTTTATATGTCCTTGTTCACCCCAGCAACAATTTATAAATGAGTTCTTACTCAATTTTCCAGGAATATCAGTATCAATAGTCATGTTTTTTTTTTCAGTTTTACTCTCTTTATAAAGACAGCAAGCCGTTTTTTGACAAATACATACAATGGAGAGAGGCTCACCCATGGGAATCATTTTACATCATGGATCCAACACCAATATGGCGAACATGGGACATCATTCAAGAGAATACACCAAATATAACTATCAGAAAAACATTGCCTAGCTCAGGCATTATGGGTAGGCCGTGATCACTATACTATTTAATATGTTTATATTATTCAAATAAGGAAGAACGTGGCTGACTGGAAAAAGTGGAAATTTAAAAAATATTACAAAATCTTTATATTCAGTGAAACCATCCAATAAATGACATAGAACAAATAAAGCAAATGAAAGGAATCCAAATTTGCCTCCAAAGAAACAATGACTGTGATTTTGCAGCCATTTTTGATTGGGAAAGACAAAATACATGCAATACAAGTTCAGGTACATTAAAACAGTCAATCAAAACAAATCATTGGGACAATTTAGTTTCAAAAGTTGCAACCATTACTATCATTATGCCCTACTTTGAATATAATTATATTTTAAACTTTATAACAATTTATGTATTCATTTGGCCAAATTCACCTCATTTCTGGTTTTGATTTTAATTTTCCATACAGGAATATCTCTGATGCAGAGAATGTGCGATACTGTCAACGTGTATGGATATCTCATTCCAAACGGTGATCCGCCACTATGTCACTACTATGATGGGATGTGTTCTAAAGCCACCTGGCATCCTGTAGAATATGAGAAAAAATTAGTTCGTCATATAAATTTTGGTAGTACGGACGACATCTTGAAACATGGGCGTATGACTGTACCTGGATTTAGAACATTTCACTGTGACTGAACTAAGCAACTCCAGCTGCAATAATTTGCTACATTCATATTTCATAATACAACCAAACTTTTGGCGTTGTTGAAATTAATACTCAGCTTCAAAAATATCACCATCAGAAGATTTATTTTGATTTCATAAATAATAATCTGTGCTTTTCGTTTTCAATCAAATAAGTAATTATGATTGATTCAACACGTGATCGGAAATATATATTCCATAGTCGAATCTATGAGTGTGTGAGGTGATTTTACATCAATCCAAACATCTATAGCCATGTCATTTCAACAAACTGTGATCTCATGTAGAATTTAGATTCTTGATTTTAAAATGCAATGGTCGTCGCACAGTGAGTGTTCGAATTTCATGTAAATAAACAATATATTTTACACGTGTTGTATACGTATGTAAGAGTTTCATATTTAACAGGATGCGGCACGACAACTGTCGCCCTTTAAGCCAATACAGTGGATTGATTACAACAAACACTGACAACAAAGACGCCAACGTTTTAGTTAACCGGGTCTGTTTGGAGTCAATGTTTTAGGTTGTGTGTTGTCACGTGTAACTTTCTTTTTTCTCAACTAAAATAAAAAATATTTTTTCAGTCTTTTCGGTTCCCCCTATCATCTGCATATTTTTCCACCAAAATCTTTCCTGAAAATTGCACTTGCTTGTTACACTAAAATTAGACATTTCATAGTGATTAATAAGATTCCGAAATTTGAAGGTTGATGGATAAAAATTGTTTGAGTTAAAATAACAGCAACAAGACAATGTTAAGTGAAATTATACATAGAACACGTACAAAAATCATTCCAATATGCCTCACTCATTTAACAACCATTAGCCTAAAAATGACAGCATCACCTTAATAATCGAGAGACATTGTAAATACCAGTGTATTTTAGAAATTAAACAAGTTTTATATCATTAGATTTCAAATTTACTATTCCATTAGCTTTTATGGGTAGGGGATTTAATCGAATTGTCATGTATGGCTTCAAATTATAGGTTTTAAAACCATACAGGTTGTGCAGTAGAGAAATCAGTGATCAAATTTTAGTTCATTTCCTTGTATCAACATATATTTACAATCTTTAAACTATTAGGGATATATTTGTAAATATCACTGCTCATGAGTAATTACCTACTCATGTGCAAAATAATTAATGTCTAACATTGTACCACAAAAGAGCTAATAGTTGGTACCAAAAGAGCAAAGTACTAAAGGACACGTACTGTAAAGTTTGAACACTGATCAACAACTTTAATGCTCAGTTTTTCATGGCTAGGTAGGAAAGCTATAAACACTTATTTACATACGACAATGACCAACATAGATAATTATTGCAAATTTATTTTTTATGATGATGCAATTTTTTTTCTTCTCAAAACATCAGAACAGTCTGTAGATGTACAGCACTTATTTTGATCAGGTAATTGCAACACTCTTACATACAAAGTAGTGCGCATATTATGACATAGCACCTATCAACTGAAATATGTACTACTTTAATTCCTAACAATAAAAAGACATCTCTACTGCCCTACATAGGGCACTGAAGTAGTGTCTGATAGCTTAGCAGAGATATTGACGACAATTGCAATAAGATGTGAACTTTCTCTACTCAACATTGGGGAAACCCCTCTCACAGCTTTAAATAAATAATATAAAAATGCAAGAAATCACATATTGAAGAAATAATGTTGCTGCTCTTTCGTAAAAAAATATCAACATCATCCCATGTTCATTTAACTCATCTTGTAGTTGCAGATAATCACTCTATATATATTTGTTTTAACTGTAAAGAACAACTTAAGTGATGACTGAATAGGTAAATAACAGGCCATATACATGTATAGATGCAGTACCCCAACACAGATGCATATAAAAGAAAAACATAACCAAAAAAAACATGATTATCTGAGCAATAAAAAAGAACTCCTGTGTGATTTGCATCATATGAAACAAAAAAAGAAACGTATCATACAAGTTTCTTTCGTTACAGCTTGTTCAACAAGTTTGTGTAAAGCAAATGACCAATCTACTGTTACTTTTTAAGACAGCTACTGTATACTAACACTTTGAACCCATATACGGCTGTGTAAATACTGTATACCCCAGAAACACACATACATATCAGTAAACTGCATTACAAAAATCAGAGAAATACAGTGTGATTTAAGTAATTCAAATTCACATAGATTGATGACAGCGCTCTGTACCACAGTGAGTTATTAAACTATATACAAAATACTGTATTGTGTGTACTATTACCAAAAGTGGCTGATAATGATGTCAAGATATTAATAATCACAGAGATGGATGACACAATTATTGTGGAAACGTGCACTTTATATAAATAATAGACCACCTGCTTGCTAACATTCCATTTGCTACATATATTTATTCATGTAAAACATTCTAAATAACAGTCAACAGTACCACACAGTTGAGGCATGACAATTGATCATGTTAATGATAGCATTCCTCTACATATATATTTGAGTAATTTACAATGCCGGATCACCAATTTTTTTTAATAGTGGTCCTGACCACCTGCATGTTGAAATAGAATATGAAGGGAACATTGAGATAGATAGTGCAGGTATATACACAATGTCATATATGCATGTAGTATTCCTTAACAAAAGTCAAACATTGATTAGGTAGGCAAATTATTTACAAAAGGAAGAATATGTTTTATCTCTTAATAACATTGCATGAGAATTACTGGTTCAATTCCCACAAATTGAATTTTTATGTATGTCAAAAGCTTGTAATTGAAGCCATTCTGTCCAATGCAGCACAATAATAACATACAAGTACACACCAATGTATTTCAGACATACTTGAAAACTGTTGAACTCCAAGAGTCACAAAGTTACTGTTTATATATATTTAGTAAATTCACTTTGATATCATCTTTCACTTTGCTTCCCTTTCACAGCAATAATTTACATGGACAATTACACTGATAAGAAAGATTGGCAAACTTGAAATGCAAACATTTCACTAATTCACTGCAAAGTTCTTAAAAAGTTAAGTACAAAGACACTCACTGAATTTGCAAATAAGAAAAAGATAGCATAATACAGAGTGAATATTTTTTACATTACTATAAATAGAATAGTGACTGTACTGTGTAACCAGCTTAATTAAGAGGTCAGATTGATACCATAATGAATCTACTATTCTTTGTTACTGCTTTGCATTTCTGTTGTTTCAGGCTCTTCACAAGTTTCTGGAGCTTCTGGTGACTGAGTTGCCGGTCTGGATTGGTTATTAATAGCATTATTTATAGTATTGTTTTGTTTATGTAAATTAGCAACATGTTGTTGAGAATAACTATGAGGATGTTGGTTGTTCTGTAGAGTCTGATTATTCTGCAAATAAGTTACAAATATAACACATAAGAAGACTGGCTAAACTTAGCTACACATGTAAAAGATTAATACCAGGATTTACACAAAGACATTATGGAATGGCACTGTATGCTTATCTTCTAATCCATTGTTGACATTATAATCCCATCAGTGAATTAATTTACAGCTGTAAAGCTGTCTTCTGTTGGAACAAGGTTGACCTCATTGTTCATTTCCCCCATGAGCACTAACAAAATTGGAATATATCATAGAATATAGAAACCTCCCAAAAATAACCAATAGAAAAAACTAACCTGCGGTGCTATTCTCTGCTGATTGTTTTGTGGAGTAACATGATGTATATGTGGTTGTGGCTGCTGCTGCTGCTGTTGTTGATAATGAGTTACTGTATCATCCTGTGGAGAACCATCTTGATCTTCAGCAACTTCTATATCTTCAGGTTCCTGTCAATATCAGAACATATTATGGTATTAATGTAATTAAGGTAGTGTGGAGGGTCTTTTTCAATGAAAATCATGTTTTGTAGATCTATTTATTAATTGTAAACTTCAAAATGAAGAATTCAAAATAGTAACAGAATGCCATGCAAGTTAGTTAAAACAAGCCATGCATGGTACAGTCCCTGTTAGTTATCAAACTTAAGAAATATAGTTTTGTTTATAGTAATATAGTTGGAACATAAACATGTCAGAGATACTGATGTTTGATTTAATTATTTTTTAACATTAAAATGATTGACATTCAGTCATCTTGTTTCTGATTGTCAAACGAGTACTTGTCCATATTGGGAGATATTGCTCTGGAACAGCCATAATTAAAACAAAACGGCCACTGGTCGGCCATTTTGAATACATCTGTGCATCTATAACATGATGTATAGTGAATATATAATTTGAACATAATCAGTCAAATCATCTCAGAAATACGGCTCTATCGACATTCATTAAAACAAAGTGACCTGCCGGTCAGCCATTTTGAATCCGATTTCAAAAATAAAATGACATGCATCAAGGTCCCATAAAGTCCAATGTATGTACCAAGTTTGAACAAAATCTATCCATAAATTCTTGATTTTAATGATTTTTCAGCACAAAAATGGCCGCCATTGGGTCATCTTGAATCAGATCGTGAAACAAATTGATGTGCATGTGTATAATATTATGTATGATGTATGTGTGAAGTTTGAATGTAATCAGTCCAGGCATGCCTAAGGATACAGGTACTGGACACACACACAGACGCACGCATACATGGACGCACAGAGGTCAATCTATAAGTCCCTGTTTTCGGACTGCATTCAGAGGGGGATTAAATAGATGTCCTTAACAGATTAATTGATGATACAATAGATGGTTAAGAGGTCCAAAACATTAAAAATATACATCAATGCTTAATATGGACTGAAAGTTTCAGCTGTTTTCAACTTGCTAGAGTTGCTGTTGACTGACAATGTATTGTGCTTCATGTCTAACTGAAAGAGAATCAGCTGTTGATTAAAAATGTCAGCACTTGCAGTACATGCGTTGCAGTTTGTGTTGTTTTGATCAAACTGTTTATTTTCATGGTGAAATAACCAATTGTCTAAATATGGACTCGCATGAATTTCCATGCCAAGCTGTAATAATAATGGCATGCTTCTGTGGATTGTCACTTGTGTAAATCAAAGAAAGCTTAGAAAGAACTCCCATGTGCTGAGAGTATTAGAGACACATTAAAAATAATTCGAAATTACTTGTACTTGAGATATTGATGGGAAAGCTGAAAACTAATTATGCAAATCAGAAAACTAATATAATCAAATTTGAGTGTAAAACTAATGAGGTCTGCGCAATGTAACAAATCATCTATGTACCAAGTTTTATTGAAATGTGATTAGAACCACAAAATTATGAATTATAATGCTAATTAGGTAATTAATATCAACAGATTTTAACCCCAAACTAATCAGGTCTGTACATTGTCCTCGAGCATCTGTGTACTAAGTTTCATTGAAATGGAATAATTTGTACTTTAGATATCAGTGTGATAGCCTAAAATTGGTTAGGTAATTAATATGTACAGATTTTAACCCACAATTAATTAGGTCTGTCTATTGTCCTACAGCATCCATGTACAACGTTTCATTTGAATATGATGATTAGTACTTGAGATATCGATGTAAAAGTTGAAAATTGGTTAATTATGCAAATTAGGTGATTATTATGCATAAATATTTACCGAAAACTAATTGGTTATCTGCATAGTTTCTGGTTCATTGAAATGTGATGATTAGTACTCGAGATATCCAATTCAATGATTGGTTCTTCAGATATCAGTGGGAAAAGTCATGGAACAGCTAAAAATTGGCTAATTATCATGCAAATTAGGTAATTAATATGCACGGATTTTTACCAAAAACTAATCAAATCTGCGCATTGGCCCAGAGCATTGATGCACCAAGTTTCATCAAAAACCGATGTAGGGTTCTTGAGATAGCAGTGGAACAGTTTGACACACATACACACATACACTAACTGCAAAGACTCCCATTGTGTGCTTCGCACATGGGAGTAAAAAATAAGCACACATAGAGAAAATACAGCATTTAGTATACAAGAGGCAAAAACATTCCTACCTCTTCAGGACAAAGTTCACAGGCTTTAGCTAATGTTAATCTTGCACTATGAGATCTTTCTAGGAAATAACCATTGGCTGTTTCATTAGATTGCGCAGGTGGTGACCAATTATTATATGTATACTGTGTATTACTGGGATACGGTCTCTATCATATACAAATACATAATCAATTAATTGTTATTTGATTTCTACTTCACACTAAAAATAAACAAGCCATGCATGGCACAGTCCCCGTTAGTTATCAAATTTAAGATATATAGTTTTGTTTATAGTAATAAAGCTGGAATATAACCATGTCAGGAATATGATTTTTTAACATTAAAATGATCGACATTTGTATCTGATCGTCAAACAAGTACTTGTCCATATTGAGAGATATTGCTCTGGAACAGCATTCAAAATCAGCCATTTTAAATACATGTA